AGCTTGAGAGAAAAATGTGTTGAGAAGTGGATGATATCACAAGAGTTCAACCTGGGATATGTTCAGTTTGCGATGCCTCTGAGACATTGAAGTAGAGACGTCAAGTAGACACTTGATTGATCCTTAGAACATTTAAACCACACGAGAATCACAAAATGTTTTCATCACCTCAGCTAGGTTCTGATATTAACTTTAGCAGCATTTCTCTTTTCTTCATTATTTTCTTTGGGGCAACTGTCCATTTTTACATTTAATGTAGGGTTTTTACTGCTGTAACTTTTTATACTGAAGAAACTCAGAAGACTAAAAAATCTATTCAAATTCTCAAGTAGTTTCATATTTAGCCTAGAATAAAATGAACATATATGCTTAGAAATTTCTCTGAGCAAAGTATTAATAAACAAAGTTGGATTCAAATTCAAAAACTATATGCATTAACTCTCATGTTGTTCAGTAATCCTAAAGTCTTTCCTTGCAGTTTGGCAGACTCTAAATTAACTGCAAATCTGCAATGACAGCTGTTTTACATGGAGAGGGTAAATTAGTAACTGAAATGGGCATAAATTTGGTAGATAATAATGATAGGTAATTTTTACTAAGAGCTTACTAATTTCAGTTCTTTTTTATATAATTTTTAGGTTGAATCTCATGAAAAGTCTGAGGTAAGTGCTATTATAATGCTCATTTCACAAGTAAAGAACTTTGGGTTGTAGAGAACTTAAGTAACTTTTCAGTAAGCACACAGGGAATGTAAAGGACTGTATGTCAAACTTTCTACTGGGAGGGGAGTGTGAGGAAGTGGATTACTACTCACTGAATTCCTGCCACTATGTTATGCTATAACTGGAAAAAAAAAGCCTTTCCACTCCTTAAATCACCCTCTATCTGCCTTGCTCCTCCTCTATGTATATGGAACTGGGTGGGGAGCCTCCAGAGCCATGGGAAGACCATATTTAATAGACATGAGGGTGGAACCTTGTACAGTGGTTTCCTTACCACCCTGCACACTGAGGAAGAGCCCAAGCAGGCACTCCAGGCTGCTTAGGTGTCAAGGAATTGATTTTAATGAGACTTAGGGAAATAGACCTTTCCACAAATTCAAGCTTTATTTGCCAGAAGTCTTCTCTTGAACTTAGGACTAAATCCTACTTAATATGCATGATTTTGGATAGCCTATCCCCCATTTTAGGTATCTTCTTCAAGGGTTTGCTGGAACAAGTTGTGAATTCAGTTTCCTATGGCTATAATCTAATGACATTAATAACCTCCTTAAGACCACACCTTCTTGTCCTTAATAACCACAATGTGCTCGGATTTTATCATGTGCATCACAGTACTTGGTTTGGTGATATTATGATCTCTACTATACCAAAAGCCTCATAATATTGAATATTAGTCTGCTAGGATCCAAATTTCCTAACCCTAGAGCATCCAAAACTATCCTATCCTGGCTGATCTGTATTATGCTGGGATGGTTGTAGGTATATAGTAAAAAATAACAACTTCTGATTGGTATCCCAGTACAAATATATTCTAAGTCACTTAAGTCTTCTAACTATATTCTAAGTCACTAAGTCTGACAGCTGTGCTTCAGCTATCAAAGACATAAAGGGACACCTTTGTTATTGACAATAATAAAGGATCATAGTAAGGACTGGATGACAGAACACTGGTGTGCAGCCACCAAGGCCTGGCACACTGAAGGCTCTCTAGGTGCTGGAGAATGCATACATCTCACTCTACACCAGACCTTGACCTATAATTACCAACTAACTAGAAATTTTCCCATCTACATCTACATTTTATATTGCCTCATTGTTCCCTGTCATTGAGCTAGTCAATATATTTCACTAAACACTACCTGTTTTAATAATATTACTATTTCTTATTAATTCTGAACCCCTCATTTTTATCTCCTCTCTGCTCATTTTTGTATCTATTTCTTTACACATGCAAAAGATTGTTTACCTTTGTTTCCCGTGGCTTCTGGGTGATTCTAACTATATGGCCAACAAATGTTTCATCAGTTACCATTCTCATCTTCATCAATATCTTCCAAAGTATGTTTTATTGCCCCCATTTTATAAGGAAGGCAATTAAGTGCCCATTGCAGTAAATTCAAGGTTATCACTAAAATTCAGGGAAAAAAAATAGCTAAGCTTCTTCCCAAGTTACTCAGAAAAAATAATGATTGAAAACTAAACAAGATCCCTCCTTTTATCCTTAAAATAAAAAAAAAAAAAAGAAAACTAAACAAGAAATATTAATTAAGTATTCAGTTAGAGGGTGCTTGCTTTGAATACAAACATAATCCAAAACAGAGGAGCTCAGTGAAGGTACTAAATTCCTAAGGATAGATTCAAAGGGAAAGGGACAGTGTCCTGTGAGAGAGGTTTGGTTAAAGGAAAGATTATCAGTGACTTTGCCTAAGTAGATAGAATCTGAAGATTAAAAAAGTAGCATGTGTAAGGTCCAGTCTTCCCCAGGCTGCTACTTTTTGTAGCACAGGAGGACTATTGAACAGTAGCAGGAAATATGGCTAAATAAAAACTTGGCCAGGGGGAAGAATGATGTACAAACTAAAAATTTTAAATTAATATAAAAACATTTTATTTTTGATGACATTTGAACAGTGTCTTTCCTCTGCTTCTATGGTGATCACTCCCCTTAGCTTCATGGCAATTCTCATGTATCCTGCAAATTTCAACTGAAATAGTTTCTCTTCCAAGATTTTCCTCCCTAGTTTCTCCAAGGAAAATTAAATGCATCATTCTTTTTATTTCCATAATGCTGAACTAGGAGAGTGCAGTATCTATCCCATTAATGGAATGATCTCTCACCCTTCAGTGATTTCTGGAGGAAAGGAAATGTGCTATATGTGTCCTTTGGATCCCCCAACATTCATCTTAATGACTAGCACACAGAAGGGACTTAAAGATGCTTAAATGAATCAATAAATAAATTATTCTAAAGCAAAGAAATACTAGCTAATGTGATATCTGATAAACAGAAAACACAAATAGTGGCTTGCAGCAGGATTAGAGGCAGTCTAGTCATTGGTAACATAAAATGTATTAGAAGTATGACTTGCACAATATGTACAAAATACCCTAGGTTATATGCTGTAACTCTATCACTGCAATTATGCAAGAAAAGCTTAATGCTGTGACTCTGATTTTCCAGTGTTACCTATCAAAAATCAATAATATGGAAAAATTATTTTCATTTAAATAAATTTGATAAATGAGGCAAATATAATTTAATTTGAATCAAAAGTTATAAAATACCTTCTTCAGCATTGTTTCTAATGAGGCTCATACAAATATAATTTAATAAGAAGATTTAGAAAATGATTGCTAAACTGTACAAATCTTTTGTATTTTTTTTCCTTTGGTAGATAGCATTTAGAGAAATTATTGGAATTTACTATGGAAAATCCTATCATATTTGAAATCTACAAATAAAAAATTACAGCATAATGATACCATAGCTTCTTAAATCAATATTTTTATTCTTTCTTGTTGCCCTATGATGTGCCATATACACTAAGAATACAACATTGTTTGAAAGAGGAAAAGAATGAATTTCCATGGTCTCATTGTTGACTGTGGAGCTAAGTGACTGGAAAATTTCTCAGTGTGCCAAACAATTAGGATTCTCTATTGTACCAAATGAATTGGCCTCAGTGTAATTTTAGTCTATCATACATAGTGTAATCATTTCATCTCCCTTCCTAAAAAATGAGTGCACTATTAAGAAGAGACTGAACTTATATTCAAGTTAGGCATTAATATTAAAAAATACATTCTTTTAAAATTTTTACATTCATGAAATCACGCATTTTACAGAGAAAAAAGAATCATTTAATTGATTTCCACCATTACTCAATGAATATCACCACCTTCGGGCAAAATCCATTAAAAGAACATCTCTACCAGAATGAAACACAAAGTCAACGAATGCTTATATACAACATTTAGAAATTCAGGCTCCAGGCTGATAGAAGTGATTCAAATGACTGCCTCTCATTAAACATTGAGAGTAAAACAGACCTGATACACCACTCTACACGAGCAACTCTTTCAACTGTAAAAAGGGTAGCATAGTGTCTTAAGTATTTTTATAATTAAATTCCTTGATTTTTTAATAACTTAATAATCAATAACATGCTCAGCCATTATATAAAGACAACCAGGGAATGGACAAATGAATAAATAGAAAATACATATTTTCAAATTAAAATACCAGTGATAAAGAAATCACATTGCTGAAAACAAAACTGATGAATACCATAATCAGAATTTTTAGTCTCAGTATAGCTCCCAAACACTAAACAAATCTAAATTCATTTTTGTTTTATTAAAAGGGCGTCATATTAAAGCAAAAGATTGCTACAACTGATTTTTAAATGGTGTATTTATTGTATTGGTGTACATTATTTAACATGGCTCAAGGAAAAATACTTTCATTATTTTCTATTTTTAACATGTAACCAAAATTTTCTTTTATCTTTTAGGTCAATTCAATGATACTGAAAATCAATTGCTCTGGAAAAGAAAGAAGCATAAAAATCAGTTATTCCATGTGCAAAAAGTGACCAAGGTATGGCTCAGTGATAGTGGTAGTTTGTGGCAGTGTTTTTAAAATAATGTACTATTTTTTCTTCTCAGTCAGAAAAGAGAAATCAGAAAGTGAATGCATCCTGGACAAACACAGAGAGGGTGTGGAATACTAAATACAGTTGTAAGAGCTGAAGACAATGTTAGATAAGCAGTGAGAGAAAAGAAAAGAAATCATGTTAAGTTTCAATCCCAAAAAGGAAAGGGATGAGGGATCTAATTAGCATATTCAGGAAGTTCTCCCTTCACTTCCTGGACATGCAGTACACTATATATGAGACAGAATTATATTATCTACCATAGCCAAATGTTTTGCAGCTCTCTATCCTAGGAACTTTGACATTTACATTTTTACTAATATGCATTAGAGTATTTACCTACCTCTCAAAATTTTCTACGTCTTCTCCATATATGTGTTCATCATGCTTACAAGAATCTGCCAGAAAAAAAGAAATCTCAGAACACTTAGGTCTCCACAGGAATTGAGAAGAAGATTCTTGTGCCATTCATTTCTAAGGAGCCTTTTAGACTCCAGGTGATGCTCAAGAGAGATGATTCAGAGTAGATAAAATACATATCATGAGGAAGGATGGGGCACCTTGGAATAAATTCTGTGAAATTGTCAGCTTCCATTTCCACTCACCAGCTCCATAAACTGTTGATCTCCATTGTGCCCTCTGTCTCAGGAAATTGTCTACTATGATGCACATATGGCTGGTCTCCCCAAAGTCCACATGTGTGACAGTGTTCCCAGTATGAGAGTGTTCAGGCAAGGATATGGCAACTTATAAATGATGTGGCCTGGTGAGTGGTAATTAGGTCAATGAGAGCTTTACTCTTGCATAAGACTAATGCTTTTCTTATGGGACAAGTTCTCACCAGAGTGAGTTGTAATAAAAAGAGCAACAATAGCCACTCCCCACCATATGATCACTTCTACACAGGTTCCCACCATTGTGATGCCATGAGTTACGAAGCCTGAACAGAGTTACCCAATTATGGAATTCAAACCTCCAGAACTGTGAACTAAGTAAACCTTTCTTTATAAAGCAGCCAGACTGAAGTGTTTTATTATAGCAACAGTATACAGACTAAGACATTAGGTTGTTATTTCAAATTAGTAGTCACAGAAAACTATTCTGAGAGCTCACTGGGATATTGCCTGTCCCTATAACACATAATTATTTTCTTATTCTCTTTAATGGTTTGAACAATCTTCCATTCTTACTTCTAGTAATCTGAGCAATGTAGTTGAGGATAGTGATATGTAATATAACAACCACTATTAATTCTATTATTTTGTTTTGAAACCCTGTATCACTTTAAATGTTCTTGCTTTGGTTTGTTTATGTTTGTGATACTGGTATGCTGCTATTATTCCATTTTTTGTTTGTTTGTGTCTCACTTACTACTCTCTTGAAAATAAAAAAGAGAAGAAAAAAAGAAAAAGAAACACTTTCCTCCAGCCCCAAGCAGTCCTTCCACGAGCATGAGTGTGGCTCTGTTTCCATGGCAACCACCATAGGCCAGGTTCTCATTTCTCATATTTGGTTTACTGAAAAAGTTTTTCAACTGTTTACCTTCAGTCTCCTCCTCTTTTAAATGTTCTTGTCCTCTACTATCAGATTAATTTTAAGTAATCTTGTCTAGCAACCTAGGCAGAGGTTGGCTCTCAGGTTCCATGAGATCTCATAGCTGGGGTGTTGTATAGGACTCAACCAAATGAAATGAGGAAGTACAGTGGGAAGAGCAAATTAAAAATAAAATCCTGGGGCTGGGGATTTAGCTGAGTGGCACAGCGCCTGCCTGGCAAGCGTGAGGTCATGAGTTCAATTCCTGGTACTGGAAGAAAACTAAAAAAAAAGCAAAAACAAAAAAATAAAATAAAATCCTAAACGTGGAGCATGCTTGGCGTGCTGTAGGCTCAGCCAAGAAAACTGAATGGTGGAATAAGCAAAAGGAAAGTGATTGCAGAAGGGGCTGAGGTGTAGCCCTTACAACCTTGCTAAAGATTTTGCAATTTCTTCTAAGCTTGAGGGAAATCTATCAGAATAAAAAGCTCTCTCTTCTAACAGGCAAAATAGAAACTTTCACATCTGGAGGTCAGATTTGACCTTAAGATATGAAAATGAGTTGAGTCCTTCTCCTGACAGAGGTTGCATGTAGAACACATTTGCCAGGTTGAAAGGTATGGTCAGAAACAAGACAGGCTGTCTAGTCCTTGCTAGACCAGCAGAATCAGTAACACCAGAAACATAGTTAGCGAAGCAGAATCTCCGGCTTTTCTCCAGACATATGTAATCAGAGTCTGCATTCCAAATAAGATTAGCAGATGAGCTGTAAACATGACAAGCGAAGGTGGGTGAAAAGTAATGACGAGCTACTCTGGATTGCTCAATTTATGAATGAAGCACACTGGCATGGAGCCTCAAGAAGCTGTGAAGTGAGACTGGACCCATTGGGCAGGGCCTTGAGCAGCATGACTGAGTGAGGAGCATCCCTCCGGAAAAAGCATTCCCATCACCACAGCACAATGACTGCCTCACAGCGGCTGAGTATTGCCCCCTGCAGAATTCAGTATTAATCAGAAGTGGAGAAATTTCTCCTATTACTTAAAACAAAATCACACAGCTTAATTTTTTTTTTTAAAATTACGTGGCCATGCTATTGTCTGTTAGAAATTTAAAAGCCATTATTATCTGATTATATGCGGATAGTCACCCATGTTAGTTTATATCCATACTTCAGAAACCCTGAAATGTGCTAAAGAAAATGAAAACAAAATAGCCCCTGTAGATGCACATCAGTGAATTGTTTATTCTTTTCATTTCTCATGTTCCAGAGGCCAAGCTAAATTGCAAATGTGTTCTTTCTAGGAATGTAAATGTGATCAATTACAGGGCTTCTCCTCGTCTTTGTTTTGGCACAGAGGTTGTTCTACCTTCCCTGCTTCTTATTAAACATAATAAATAGGGACACTCAGAATTCATCACAAGGAGAAGGAGTCAGAATAACAGAGAAATTGACAACTCTAAAAAATGACTTGAATACTAATTCTTACTAGAATGTTTCACAAGGTGATTTTCATTTTTGCTTTGTTTCTTAATCTTTTTCCTTTTCTTACTGTTATTTCAGTAAGCTTAGGCTTAAACAAGGAACAACATAGACAGAGATAACAAGTACCCTGTGACCTGAGAGAAGCTCAGAAGGACACGAGACAAAGGGCACCGTGTGCACTAACAAAAACAAGGTTCACTCACATCCCGTTGGCTTCAGAGAAAACTGCGCCAAGAAAACTGGCTCAAAGTTGCATCAAGAAACCATTCATTGTGCGGGGAACAAGTTCTCTAGGGAGAGTTAAGGCAGAGGTAATCAATAGCCAGAACACAAAGGGCCTTAAACACCATGTTGAGAAGTCCGGGCTTCATCTTGAACTCTGAGCAACATTATGTCTGTACATTCATGTCTCATTCTCCTTCACACAGGTCATGACCAGCTATCACGTAGAGTGCCCTCCTAAATGACTCTATCCGTGGCATCCCTGCCTTACCCTGGCCCATAATCTGGTCCGTACCTCACAAAGTAGCTGATGGTAAATTGGACCACTGCGCTGCTTCAAACCCTTCAGAGACTTCACAGCGTAATACCAGTGAAATCCAAATTCATTAATCTGGGCCTAAATATCTACATACTGTGTCCCTCTAAGTTTCAATTAAGGAAAAAGAAATCAAATTTGTTGTAGAAAGATTGCTGACTTCTTGGTGAAAAATCACCTAAAAGGGGAAAGACTTAATTCAGAAAGAATAGTAAGAAGCTGTTGCTAAAATCCAAGAAATGGAGAAGTTGCAAAAAGCACAGGGAGGCTTGGTCAACACTGAGGAAATAAGTGGATAGCAGGAGTTAGGGATGGTTAAATGTGGAGGTGTGTCTGGGGGATAGGGAGTGCGGTCACTTTTGCATGACCAGGATATAATACCTGACATCTGCAACTTTAAAAAGGAGAGATTTATTTGGTTCATTGTTTCAGGAAGTACAGACCAAGGCCAATCAGTACCAAGACAGAAACGGCATGGTAGGACAGTATGCCAGGGGAAAGCTGTTTACCCGTGGCAGCTGGGAGACAGAGGGAAAAGGGAGGAGACAGGAATGAGAGAATATTCTCTTTCAATTCACTCTAGTAGTAACCCACACCTACCAGACTCCACCTCCAAATGTGAGACTTGAGGTCATTTGAGATCTGAACCATAACAGAATCTGTTGCTAGAATCTAAAAAATGAAGGAGGCTGCAACTAGCAGAGAAGAAAGGATTAATCAACATTGCGGAAATAGATAAGAAGGATTAGGGATGGTTGTGTGTGAAGACAAGGCTGGGGAAGAGGGGACTGGGAATAACAGAGGTTGGTAACAGAGACAAGTCCCAGTTATCTGTTTTTGAAAACTGGATGGATTGTGGGAACATTTGTTGAAGTAGCAAAGTAAAAGAAGGGAATCAGGTGAGGGCCAGATTGGACAGAGGGGAGCAAGGACAAAATATTTGAATTTGGTGTTGACTCTGGGACTTCCAGGTACAGAGAATCAGAAAGCAGAAGCATACACAGGTCTGCAGAGCTGAAGACTGATCTGGGTTCCTGATTTTCCTTAGTCGAAGGAAATATCTGCCATAGAGTATAAGTGCAAACAAACAACTTCTAATGGAGAGCTGCGAGATGAACACACTGCCTGCTGCAAAACTCAGAGCAATTCAGGGACAAAAAACCCAAGAAATAGTTTGCTAAGTGTTTCTCCCAGCCTTTCTCACTTATGGTTCTACGCTATAGTATACTGACCATCAGTTGCAGACAGATACAAAGTATTGTTTTTATCTCTGCTTGCAATGGAAACAATATCAAAATATTGATGCCATATAGAAAGATATAAATGTTTTAAAAATGGAAAAATGAATGGAGATGAGAGTAAGTAAAAACTGTTAAGAAATATTAGCATGAACCAGGCGTGGTGGAGCACACCTGTAATGCCAGCACTTAGGAGGCTGAGGCAGGAGGATTGTTGTGAGTTTGAGACCAACCCGGGCTACAAAGTGAGAGCAAGTCCAGCCTGAACTACATAGCGAGACCCTGTCTCAAAAATACAAAAAAAAAAAAAAGGAAAAGGAAATATTAGCACATAGCAAGCAAATAGGGTAGCCACTGACTAGTAGGTGAAAGAAAGATGAAATCTAAGTGCTTAAGTTGGGGACAGTACTGAAAAGCAACTTTTCCCTATAGATCACTTGAAAGATATAGACAATGAGACTCTATGCACACTGGTTAGCCAGGGTAGGTATGGACATAAGAATGCCTCTCTTAGGACCATCAGCAGTATCCAAAAGGTCCAGGGGACTGAAATTCTAAGCCCACCCATCCCTCCGCTGTTTCAGATTTTCTTGAATTCTTTAT